CTTATTCTGTAAGTAGAGCAACAATTGTTTATAGGCATCCAAAGCACTTATCAAAAACAATGGCTGAAAATCTTTTTGTAAACACTGATCTTTCCCTTGGTGGTCGAGTGGAGTTTGTTTTTATCAATGGTCTCAATGGATCAAATCCTTTGAAAAGTCCACTACATCCCCTTTTTTGGCGAACGAGCATCTTCAGTGCGATAAATCTACCCAATCAAGTGAAGGTCGGGGAAACAATGTTGGTGTTATTTCACAAAGTTCAAAGGATATCAACCAGTGGCGGATCCAGCGAGGGGGTTTTGGAGTTAAACTACGTGTCAGTCAGTGGCGGACCCACGGGGGGTGTTTTAATACATAGACGCCATACCCCCAAAACCCCCCCGCTGGATCCGCCACTGATATCAACAGTCAAGTTCTGGTGGCCAAGATATCAATCAATTTGATTTATATTATTAATTCAAATTCTTCCGGAAAAGGCATGGTTGAAACATACAAAAAAGAAAAGGCCTTGGATGATAACTTACGCAAGCTATTAGTTGAATCGGTTTTACAATATTGTATTATGAACAACCACGATCTTTCCGTTACTAATTGCGCTTCTATTTCACTTCAAATTTGCGAAGTATTCCCTGGCGATTTGGCGGTAAACAACTATTCTGACTTCATTTCAAAATTCACCTTTCCGTCTGTATTATATCTTAAAAAATTATCACAGAATGAACATTAAAATTAATTTTACCCTTTCAGTCATCCTATTACCTTGAGCGAAAAAACGCAGCTCCGTTGGGCAAATTATACAACAAATTCATGAATTGGAAAACAAATTTCAATAGAAAGACAAAGACTTCAGACGGTAATTTGAAAAAAACGAAAGCAGAGGTCATTTTCAATAGTGGAAGATGAGGACGAACATATTAGAGCGTTGACACAAGACCTCCATGCAATGGCTTATCAGGAAAAAATCAGACACTGGCGCGCGTGTTTTGCAACACGTATGAATAGCCGAGAATAATCCAAAACAGATCTTCAATGTTTGACCGCAATACAAATTGCCTGATGGTTTTCGTTTGGTAAGACTAAAGCTCATTCTTATTTATTTTCCTTATTAAAGTAAATTTTTTTTGTTTGGATTGAGTCTGATTTCGTGTTCTCTTTCGGAACCAGAAATGAGGTCTTTGACAACCTCACTCCTTTTAGAAATTTGCTTTTGGATAACGTTTTTCCGAATCGCGTCAAGGAATTCAAAGATTATGCTAATATGTACTACACAATAGAGAAAAACAAAGTCAATCTCTCAGAAGGTAAGCACACTCTTGGGGTATTCACTCCTGCCTGGTTATCTGGTTAAAATTTTGTATTTTGGTATTTGTTTTT